TCTATAACTGTTACACATTCCCTTTATCAATTCTGGAATTATTTATGATTTCTGCCCTGTCTACTTTATGTTGTTACACCATCCACAACATATACATGCATACGTAGTCCTGATATTCTGTGTCATTCAACTGCTTGGTATATAGTTGGACAGTATGTTATATCTCATGACAAGTATGATTGAAAGCAATTGATGAGAAATACCGAAGTGAAACGATAGCATATTATTCTGTTCCATTCATTGTATTTACGTCAGTCATGAATTCTTAACGTCAAGACAAGTCATATGGTGGACAGAGTGGAAGTACAATGCAATCTCTTTCAAGACGTCTAGTGATTATTGCTATTTAAGGAGTTCCAGGATGATAATCAACAACCAATAAATTATTTATGAGACTCACATTGAATATGAAATCTCGGCTCTCTCTATCTGCTGCGGACAAACTTTTCGAAGTTATTATGGACAACTGATAAGCATTAGCCTAAACAAACAAACGGATTAGTGTTCAACTCATCAGTTAAAATAGGACAAACCAAGTTGATAGATTTCTGCTTTTCATCTTCACTCGACCATGACTTTGATGACAATGAATGAGTCACGGTCGTTTTCAATTGTTTGAACATTTCGAGAACCTATCCAATGCATAATGATATATTACTCATAATCAAAGTAATTGCACAAATGTTACAAAATAAACCATCAGTAATTAAGAGAATTGAAAACGAAAGAAATCGATATGGCCCACTTAACACAAATGTCCTTTGTTTTACTGCCAATTCAATACGGAAGAAACAGTCATTCAGATGTGTATGTGATCAAACAGACAACCATCTTCTATGAAACAAGCTAATCAATTCATCACTAAATGGTAGTCCGTCTGAATAGAATACAAAATTGTTCACTGTAATTTGCTTAGAGCATGTTGTAGTAACATAAATATATCAATCTATGATTGGAAACAATAAAATTGTCTTCAGTTTTATCATTGAAATGAACGTCTCACTGACAACAAATTGCAAACCAGAACACGATTAGTTCCAAGCAGTTCAAAATCGGGCTTTCTGAAAATAAGCAAACACAACCATAAATAGACAGGGTTTTAATGAAATTGTAGACTCACTTGATTTTCTGTACTTTCACTTATACTAGAATATTTGTGATGTTTTTCTATTGTCCATCGGAAATTTTCTTTTACTTCATCAATGCAAGTTGTTGGCTTTTCCGCTGACATTTCTGTCGACGTGAATCAATATTTTATCACGTCAATAAACGAAGTGATATAACGAGACAAATAAATAAAGCATCGTTTATTTTTATTCATATTGAGCATTGTATGACTAATTACAGAAGTGTACTCATTTATCCTATCTCATTAGAAAAAAATACCGTTTGAAATTGGCTAGATACATACACATTAGTAAGACTTGGTTTGATTGTTGAAATCACACATCGAGAGCAAATTGGTATAAAAAATAAGAGAAATTGAGCCAATGGTTAGGTCATTTTTACTATGACTCTGATGTGAATACGTGAAACTTGTTTTACGTTATTTCAGCCTAATCATTATTTAATCCATTGTCTTTATTATGGTGTCGACTGTTATGTATCTCGAATGTATCTTAATATTGATAATAGTTTGTATGTTGAATATATCGACATTCAAGTGAATTATATTGCGATTTGTTTACTTGTTCTTCCTTCACCTCTAATATTGAAATGAAAACGTTTGGATTAAACATAGATAAAATTGGAAATCAACTGGATTAAAGGAACTGACAATGTTACTTACGAACATTAGGAGAATAAAACTCATTGAAATACCGGTTCAATATATTTTTCATGTTGAACAAGAAACTGATCACTGTCATCGAATGTAAAGTTCTTTGAAAATAAATGTTAATAGGATAATGATTGTTTATTGGTAAACAATTTAGGAAAAGTGGTAGTTAAAAGACCTGACAATAACAAGAAAACGTTTTACACAGAACTAACAATCGTGGTAGTTTGTAAGAGTAGGAGAATATTTCATCATGGATGATGATTACTTAGATATGGGAAAGAAGTCACAGAATGACCACAATTCATATTCCCTTTACTCCATGGTTATACATGCAATCACATCGGTATGAAGTCGAATAATGTGATATTCGTTTAAATATTTTGGTATTCTGACTTTTGTACAGCTATGTTCCATAATTAGTTTAATGAATAGGCTTGTGAACTCAAAAATACAAAGTGAAATCCACATTTTCTGTTCATCTAAAACGAAAAGCTTGTTACTTATGATGGCTCATGTGTTCGCTTAAGTGAGACGACCGATGCAAATGATTTCAGCCAGTAAACCGAGGAGTTATTAACCAACCCGTCAATATTATTTCTCTATTTATCTTCGTGATGGTTATCCAGGATCTTAAACACAAAATTATTATTAGTTCCCCTGATAAAAATAAAATTTTAATGCATTTGTTTATTCGAGTTCACAGCTACCATTTTTCACGGAATTTTATTATCACTATTTTTGTAGATATTGTCATTGTGAAAAAAAGTTTATATTTGCGATCTTAAAGCTTATAAAATGAATTTGCCGAGAAGAACTCTTCGCTAAACCAATCTTCCTTGTTTTATATCTATCATTGAACATCGGATCGAACTTAAAGTCTAAATATGAACTGATTTTGACTTTCAAACTGAGGTTTGCACTAATCTGGATTAAGTTTTCCTTATTTTACACAAGTCTGGTTGTCTGCTGAATTAAGAGTACTTACTGTCGAATGAACAAAGGTCGTATTTCTAGAGTGTTAATATTCAAAAATGAAACAATGTAAAACCAATCGCTTTACAATTTGATGTCTATAAACACTAGATACATTTTGTTAAAATAAATATACATCTAGTAGTTCAACAAACGGTGATGCCCATTTTTGTATTGAGTTACTTTGAGTGCCATGATAATAAATGAAAAAGCAATATAAAGATAGGGAATAACAACAGGTATTTTGTCGGAATAAATCGTTTCTAAAAGCGTAACACTCAATAATGAGAGGAAATTACTTTCTTCCTTTATCTGTTTCCATAGCCAACTTGTGTATATCACAAACCTTCTTCAAAGTGTTTGAATCATAGGCAATAATTTTCATATTCTTGTATGATTCATAGTTGATTTCACGGAATACACTTTCAAATAAAAGATTCCAATCGATCTGATCAAAATAAACAATAATTTGAAATACATTTACAAAGACAGTAAATGGGTCATGTCACAAATCCGTTTTCTACATATGATCAATGTTACTCAGCTGATCCTGATAGGTAGTTATCATACATTTTGTTGTCAACAATGAATGTAAATAACACTGTACTGTTCTTGTTAACTGCATGATCATTCAAAGATAATAATGTATGAAGTTTTCACCTGTGATTTTTATTCAAAGTAGTTTTTAAACCAGTTGACTTTGATCAAATTGAGACAGAATTTTGAACAACAGACGAAAAGTGTCATCAATTTTGCGTATTTGATTTATGGGTAACTGGATGGTAACAAACCTTTTTTGGTGTAAACAGTTACATTCTATCGATCTAAATTCTAATTCTGAGTATTAAGAAATGGTTAGACAAGAGTCCATTGAGTAAAGGTTCTACTTTTATGAACATTGATAAAGTACATTTGTGGATGCTATGAATTTTCCTGGACTGATTTTCCATCCTGAGATACTTAGTTAACACACATTTCTTTCCACAGTTCAAAAAACAGATGGATTTAGATTCCGACCGTCTCCGTATTGAAATATTTGTATTTTACTAACCCATTTCCAGCATGGATATGTTATAAGCTTCGTTTAAGTTGTTTTGGTTTTACAAACGAGACAGTTCTGAATGCAACATCACCATAGACGACGTCTCGGGCTCAGTAGGTGACAATTTGATGAGGGAGACATTTGATGTTCAGTCGTAATTCGAGTTATTTGGTGGAGTTAGTCCCAGATGAATGTCTCAGTTTACTCAGACACATGTATCAATAACACTTTGATTTTCTCGCTTTTCATAGAAAATGAGAATTTTATTACTTCTCTAAGGGTCAATATGTGAAGGTACACAACACTTTGACGATAAAACTGCAACTGAAACAAAGAAAACACTATGAGATTAGGTAAGGGTTATTTGTGTTCCGGGATATGCGGATTAATGCACGGCATCAAGGTATATGTAGTGTTATATTTGTTTTAGTGTGCCGATAACAGTAGGTCGCTGAAGGAATGAGTGAGTTTCATTCGTAGTTGCATGATTGTAGAATTTATGAAGATTAACAATCAACTAGATGGCAAATTACTGGCTAATCTAAATTCAACCTTCACCTTGATGGATCTATCATTCATTCAGTGATAGAACTGTGCTTCACATGTAAATAATATTTTAAGAACAGTTTAATTCGTCAACTCACTACGGGACAGATTTCTATTAACTTCTCGATTGCGATTTCTGAATCAGAACCAGATGGTTTTGTCTGAAATAAATAAATTAGCGAAGTCTAATCACGATCAATTATCTGATCTAGTTTATTGAGTGAGCGCTACCAAGGATTTTGGGATTGGATCAAGATAATTGTTTAAGGCCGTTTTGTTGAAAGTGGATTTTGAACAAGCAAACACTATCTGCCTTGTTATCTTGTTTGGGGCAACCGATAACGTTATCAGCGTTTCGTTAATCCATTTCACTAGTTTTATTTACCTTTACAATTCTATCCCATCATAGTTATCATTTTGAAATAAACGAATTTAGTATTTTAACATGTGACATACGTGTTGATAATAATTTAGAAGCTCCATGATATATATTAACAGAAAATAGAGTGTTGCCGAAAATCCCATTTCTTTTAAACCAAAATCCATGTATCGTCAATGTTATCATATGCTTATCCATAATAATTTGTTTTATTCTAGCTAAGGCATTCGGTAATATTCGGAAGTGTTTTGGAATTTTCAATTTATGTAAGTGGACTGTAGTATGTTGTCATTAATGATAGTGAAATATTGAAGTCGTCTGCATTATGGATTTTCTTGTGGGTGATTTTACAGATTGAAACATATAGGTAGAGTTCAGTGGGTGTAAGACGATAGGTATTTGTATCAATTATATTAGCACTGCTTCACTGTAATCTTTTGAAATAAATTATGTTACTGACACGAAGTTCACAGGACAGGGTTTGTTCACATCTGCAAAAATAATTTCAGAGAAGTTTTATTGTCGAATGAAATTCATGAGAGAGAGTTCTATAATCATTCGACTTGATGTTGAGCCAACAACATAAAAAGTTTGGTCACGTTATTTATCGTCTCGTATGTCGCTGGATAATTGCCTATAACGATCCGAAAATCTCTTACACTACTGGGTAGCTAGAACTTAATTGGATTACCAGGAGCTCATATTTGTCTTCTCATGACTGAAATGCAAATATACTAATCACTGGATACTATGTCCGTTTTCTACAAAATAATGGAGTGTATAAAAAAATTCACAACAACACAATTTCGAACAATTATGAAGTAAACATAGTCACTTTACTCACAGATTTGATTTCGACATAGAAATTGACAACATCTTGTATTAAATTTTCCTTATTCTCCGAAGGTCCGATTCTCTTCATATATTCGAAAAGTTTTTTACCAGTTCCCACATTATAGGGCTGTTAATTAAAAATGAAGTAAATCGCACAAACGTTCAACCATACGAAATGTTTTTGACTGGTAAGATGTGTTACTTTCATAAAACGGCGATGCTGATCGCCTGATCCAGGCAGACGGTTTTTTGATCACATTTATCATTTTGTTATTGTCACATTATCAAGTACTTATCCATTTTAAAGATTTTACGTCGTTTGATTTGAGCTGTCAGAAAACAGACAAGTAATTATTGGGATTTGTACATTGATGGAGTATGTTCCAATTCCTTTATGCATGATAATGCTGCCTGATATAAGTCAGGTCAAAAACCGGGTCACGTTTCAGTGTAAAACACAATGTAAATATAACTTATTTGTTGGTGATATCAAAAGAACGATTCTAAAATTCACCGACCGTTCACATCCTGTTTTATATACTGTGTCACAAGTTAAAATTGGTCAAGGATAAACTTATGATGAAATTATTTCAATTATTGAAATGAAAATAAGTTGAGATAGTTTAATCTTACCGCGCTAGAAGCAACAGCATCAAAAGCTTCCAGTGAACCAGAAGAAATCTGAAATACAAAACTAAGCACCTGTATTATTTATCGGGAACCAAATGAAGTGTTACGCAACTAAGGTGTTTATGAAAAACACTTATTTCAATAGATGGTATCCATTGGAAACTTCTTTTGTTGTTTGACAAGTAGCAACAACCTACTTTGGCAAATTATATAGCCCTATTTGGAAAACAAATGATGATTCACTCATACAAAGGATCACTCAGTTTTTATTTATCAGCACACAGGATTCTCTCTTCAGATGCACAGAGTTACCGAGTTGTAGTTGTAGAAAACAGTAAAAATATTTTAAACATTGAGAATGTGACTAAATAAAAAATATATTGATAACGTAAACTGGGTGAAATTTTGGTTACTAGAGTGAACTGAGATTGGATTCGTCATTCAAAAAAAAATTCTGTCGAGAGATATACGACAGCAATATTTAAAATTATTCAGTATACAAACACAAAGTACTGTTTAAATAGTGTGAGATTTTTTCATGGTATTGCGGTAAATTACACAAACGTACATTGGAAAAACGTGAACAGATGTGATTAAAAATTGATTAACGATCTACCATTAAAATATTTTCACTGCAGCATACGTAATGTATATATATATATATATATATATATATATATGGTCTTTTATAGTCGTTTGTATCTCATAATAAGCCCGATCGTGTTTTCAAACACAAAGATTTTTATCACAACTAACTCATGCAACTGAATCTATTTGATCCATTTAAATGCGACGGATTAGAGTGAACATCTTGGTCGAGAGGTTCTGTTGACATAGCTACGAGGAATTTGAATTGATCAGGTTTATATTTTCAAATGCAAACACAAAATAAATATGATGCTGCAATGATTTTGTGCTCAGAATTTGATTTATCCTGGCAAATTCAACATTGCAATGTATATAAGTAGAACACACTAACACAAATTAATTAACCGGTTGATTAAATACTTAGAACTCGGTATTACATTTCAGCTCTCAAATGATTTAATACTCAGTAACTCACATGAATGTGTGGGTTGACATCTTTTACTAGCTTTAGCGAAAATAATGATGTACTTCCACTTTGAAGCAATAAAGGTAAAAGTAAACCTGTAAGATTGAATGTTTTGTCGTCACGTAGATTATTTTTGACAATGAAAGGGATTTTTTCAAAGTTGGTTGTCAAGTACCATCCTTTGAATAGAGATATTATCAATTTAATAACTTCGTTTTCAATCACTTGTATGCTTGCATTGGGACTGTCTATACAAGATGTGTAGTAATTCACAGCCCTCTTGAAGTGTGAATCATCTGGATAGCTTGTATTTTTCACTTGAAACAAAAAAAGCAACGAACAAATAGCGTTATTGACCTTAAGAATTCATCATTTATTTATTACAGATTTACAGGGAAACATGATTTATCCATAAAGACACATGAATCTTCATTGTTGGTGGGTCTACTTGGTCAATTCAATGATTTCTGATTTGTGTATTGATCTGATCGTGTCTCAGATATCATTCATAGATAAAAATCGAACATTTATTGAATCTGGGGTTTTAATAATTTAAATAAGTGATATTGATAGCACGTTTCTTAACTGTCACAACACTTATATTACTGACCTTAGAAGCCTTGAAAATGGGCTTTTCTGGAATGGTTTGAGTAACATGTTTTAAATGGGAATATTTTTTTAAAAGTGTGTAACTTTTTTAGGCTCCCCAACCACCTCTATTCACCTGTATGTTTTTCTCACCAATGAAATGTCGTTTTAACCAGTCGATGAAATGTTTACTTTCGGAAGCATAAAAGTAATGAATTCCGTCGAGAAATGTCAGTTTTAGTCAGGTCATATCTATTTCATATAGTGAGACTGATTGGATTTTCAGAGAGATGTTCGTTGGTGTAAGTTTTTTTGGCGGGAGCGGAACTCCTTAGACAGGTGTGAATGTAACTTTGTGATACTTGATAATACGACACAGTATTCGAAATCCAAATAATTTGTACATAAAATACGTCTACAAAATGAAGAGTCACAATCAGAGACCAAAACCTTCTCAAACAGCACACGGGTTTGTTTCGAATTAAATTCTTAATCCGTCAGTCTAGGTAGCCTGTTGGTATTGGTTGTGGGTCTAATAATGTTTGTTCAGCTGGTGGAAGGCTTTTTTGCAGTATCCATATTGTCAGTTCACCATAATCACGAGTTTCTGAGCATCACTTATGAAAAACATCTCAGCTTTCGTCGTCTGACATCCGTGCAGAAGAATACGATTCGTCTTTTATTGATGTTCGGAAGTGCATCTTATGTTGTCATCAACTTTGCTTATGCGAATTACGAGACGGGAATAATAGCCTAAGATATTTTGGACTTAAGACAACGCTACGAGTTATTCTAAGTTTGAGACAATTGGTAATGTGCTGATTTCCATTTGTCTGTCAATGACATCTTGGTTTACCAATGAATTCAAACTAGTGACACCAACGTAATGTGTACATTTCATTCTGCACACAAAGCACGTGAGTCGTTACATGGTTCATTCGGCGTAGTCACGAAATTCAAATTATATATTAAATTCAAGATGAATTTATTAATATCACACAGGTGAATATTATAGTACAGTATCGAGTGCGCATGGTAAACTTCTATGTAATTACGACTGTACAATTTGAGTAAACGCCATTATCCGAAAGAGTATTTTCTTCCTTGAAACAATGACATTCTTTTACTTATTTCATTGAATTCATTAACAGATCAATATTAGACAACCATTGAAAACATGGAAGCACTAGACGGTTGTTTTATCTGTTCACATCCACGATCTATTGCTATTATTATCTAGTTGTTTGTAGCGTAAAGGCGGTAGAGAAAGTATACGTCATGAAGAACTCATTTGATTAGGTTAATTTGTTCTCAGAAGAACTATTAATTATGATCACGATAAACTTATTTTTATTAATAGTGAATTTTCTAGTTCGGTCCGATTCGTTCGCATGTACAGTGTATTTAATACTAAACCATTTTGGCAGCCTACATTTTTCATTTCCACAATAGTTGACAATTGGGCATTTTTAAGTATCTTCTATTGTTATCAGGTGACTCAGTTGACATTTAAGTCATATTCGAATTTATTCTTAGTGTGACAAACTACAAATAACTACACGCGACTGTCAGAAACTTATTCCGTTGTCTACATGATAGAGATGATAGCAGTTACTACTCTTTTAATTTCAGTGCTTATTTCACCATATCACTTCGTGCAATTTTCTTTAAGTCTACGAATATTTATCAGTATTTCATTCACTGTATAATAATACTCATGAGTGAGTCTGTAGATCCCCTAGTCGTTTTTGTCATAAGTCATTTTACACTGACTTACAGTTTTACGATTTCAATGTTTCAGTCATATGGAAATTTATCTTTCGATATTAGTTCATAATGATTATAAAAATTATAATTGAAATACTCGTTTGTACAATTACATTCAAATGTTTCTGTTAAGTAGAGTAAGACTATACAACGCGAAGGACCAAATGAACTATTTTGACAAGTAAGCAATATCTGCATCTCCAATTCATTTTAATCGACAGTACAGCACACTATCCTTCTACACACTATCACTGCGTGGGTGTATACGATTAACTTCATCATATATATTACTACTTTGTTAATAAACAAAATGATTATTATATTTTCATCCAGTTTATTCATCAAATTCCTAATTATGGTAATATGCGAGTTTGCACATTTTACATTTCGAAATCTTCGAGACTCCACACTAAATGACTTTGATTGTTGCTTTACACAGAACCAACTGTTCAACATGTTCGAATAAGCGAGCAGCACTAACTTGTTTTTAGCCTTGTGCATAGTTGATAATAACATGTTCATTAAATAACAGCCAGCTCATTAGCGTAGGAGTCAAATACCATGATTTGTCTTAATTCATTATCACTTAAAGTTGATCACTTCATCAATCGATTTTTACAAATATTTGAGCAGACTGGATGAATGGGCGGTTATTATTGTGAGAATACATTCACGTTCTGGTCAGGACATATTTGTGTTCAATTTGTGTAAAGGTAGAAGCGAGTGTTAATTTATTCATGTGCTCGAAAAGTGAATAAGTTTACAATCTCCGTCAAAAATTTAGTGAGCGAAATAAACAGGTGCATCAATCATCAACATAAGGAAAATTGCACCGAATCATGACTAAACAAAAGATATAAATTGAAACGATATTAACGAAACTCACATAAATTGATGATGACATCGTCGAACAGATAAGAATGATCTACATCAACGCCATCGGTGATTGTTTCACGACAAATAATGTTTTCATAATCTTCACAAATAAACTTATCAAGGTTCTCTCGCTCAACACTCGTGCAACTACCATCGATGCAAGTTTCGTCTTCAAAGATAATAAAAGAGAAATGTATTGCATATTTATTCACATTTCACTTCATACTGAGAATCTTGTTGTGAGTGTATTAGCTCGAAATTCGTGTTTTAAAGAAACACTGAACTAATGTAACATTTATAATGACTTCTGACAATGCTAAGCAAATCATACTCATGAATGATGTTCACACTTAAATTACATGACTACTTTGAATTACTTGGATTTTGAAAATCACTGAACAACATTATATTCAGGGAATAATTAAATGACACATTTCCCATAACGAAAAAATAGCAAGGGAAAATGCGCATTCAATATTTGCATGAGTCATCACAATTTGGTTGCACGATTACACTCAAAAGTCCCAAAATGATCTTAAAGCACTCAAAAATTACTTTCACACACTCACCTGTAACAAGCTCCTCCGTTTCATTACCTATAACAGATACTCCTGTGGATGCAGACAGGTCGTCATGGATAGAGTAAATTTAAAAAACAGAACGGAAACAGTTAATCAATCTGTGTACAGTGAGGTGACACAGATATGTCACTCAATCTCATCTCATGGTTTTTGACACGTGGTGTTGCCGACAACAACTATCCACA